GTTGGTTTATACAATGTTCCTACAGGTGCTGTTCCAGATGTGGATGCATGCTTGAGTAGTGTAGGTTCTATGGTTGATGATGAAACAGGTATATTGGTGAAGTGTGGAGGTTTAAAAAAATTGAAAGGGTGTGCATGCGTGGTAGGGACAGTTGGTTGAACAGGGGCTATTGTACACTCTGGTTCTCTTCTGATTGCTTTGTCCATAGCTGCCAAAGCAGCATCAACATAGTGTTTTAGGGATGAACTTCCCTTCTTTGGAGTTTGAACAGCCATAGACAACTGAGAGTGGACCATTGACATGGTGGGTGCACATCTTTCTGATCTTAAGCCTAATGCTTCATTTGAGGCTGCAATAGCCTCATCTACAGATCTTTTTATGAACCCAACACTAGCCTGTGGATAAATAGGGAAACCAGATAATAAATCTCTAGTTAAGGGAACAGAAACTTTTAAACCTTCTTGGAGCCTTTCTGTGAATGTTGAAGGCATGGTCTGCTTGTTCATCTTGGTTGTAGCTTCTGCCAACATAGTCAATGAAGTATGCTCTGCTTGTGATGCTCCGGGTGTATTGGTTTGAGCCTCAGGACTTTCAGGTAACGAATCACTCCCATCAGATATATCAAACGCAATCCCCTCTGGTTGCTTCACAGGCTTGAAATTAATCAGGCCCTTGGCTCTGCTCCTTGTCATTCGAGGGCCGGACTGATATTGAGGGATAGGTTGTGGTTCAGGCTTAACCATCACAGAAGCTTGAGTCTGGGGTTTAGTGAATGGTGCAGGTGTTGGTTTGGCAAAAGGAACTTGTCTCACAGGGATGGCCTCAATAGGCTCCTCCTCACTAACAGTCGGCTGTTCAGGGGGCATGGAATCTGCTTCCCCTTCCCTTTTTCTTGCTTTTTTCTTTATAATGGCCTTTCAAAATTGAAACAGGGGATTGTAGTGTGCCTTTGATCAAGGGAGAACAAAGGTGAACAGTGGCTTGAACTTAAACCGAATGGTTAATGAATAGTGAGCAGGGGTTTTTAAAGCCTTTAATCTTCGTCTCCAAGGTTGTAGCTTTGAAAATTTCAAAATTTTTCCTCTGTAAATGACAGTAACCAGGTTGATTATGAGTAGTCAGAACAGTACCTTCCTTCAAAATGTCAGCTTAAATGCAGTCCCTTCCGTCTTGAAAACTGTTATTTGATGAGCTACGGGTGATGGGAGCTTCGAAGAAGATGAGTACGGTTGCTTCAAAGATGGAGAGTACGATGATGGAGCTTGTGAGTTGAGAGTTTGGAGACGAAAGGACTCT